GATGCATGCGACAATAAAGCCGATAATTGTTTTAGCTGTCATGTCTAGCCTCTTAGATCCAATTTTTATAAAAAAATAAAAAAATATTGGTTACTGTGGCAGTTTTATGACGAGTGTTTCAGATACAATACAGGTTTAAAAAGAATGTTAATGATAATACTTTATATTATACATGCTGTCCAATTTTATGTGTATAGCACACTTCTTACAAAAACCAATGAAATGTGCTTCACAAAAATAGACAACAAAGACAGATAAAAAAAATATGTAGCAAAGATTTTATTAAAATAATAAGAGAGATTTACATACTGAGAGGGGATTTGTTATCTGTGGTGGTTTGCTGAGTTTTGTTGCTTTGCACATTTCTGCAATATTGGTAGCTTGACTCTGTCCACATAATTTGTCTTGAGTGTGTTTTCAGTCTTCCTAGCCAAAAGAAAAATGTGTGTTTAAAGTTGGTCTTTTGTGCTCTGGCTTTTGTCGGGTAGATTTTACATGGAAAGATGAAGGCACACAAACACAGTCAGCCTTTGATTGTGGTTTGTGATTTCTTTTTGTTACACCACAATGAAGCAACAGCAGCAGCGAAAAAGACCAACTTTTTTTCTTTGTTCAAGTCTTTTTGCTCTGTGTTCTGTCTTTTTGTCTCTACTTCCTCTGTTCTTCCACTTGTGTATCTGTTCTCTCTGCTCTTCTCTCCCTCCCTCCTTTCTCCCCCCCTCCCCCTTACTGTGTTTGATAAATGCTGCTTCTAACCATGCTCCACCTCACCTCCCTGCCCACCCACACACAAACCCCGCCCGGTGTGTGTGACTGTGTGTATGTGTCATGCTCGTATGTATGTTTGATTGTGTGACGTTTTGGTGTGTTCGTCCTGTGTCTGTCGCGTTTGTGGGCGTGTCTGCGTGTGTGTGTGCATTGGGCGGGTCACTCCTCCTGTTCCCCCTCCTCCCAGCCTAAACACTCCGGGCTCCCGCGCCTCCACTGCCTCGGCCGCTGCCGTCCTCTCCTCCTCCTCCTCCTCCTCCACCTCGCGTTCCCGCCACCACAAGTCCCTGTCCTCCTCCAATCATCCATGCCCCTCTGACCTGCACGCACCACGGCCCAGGCAAGTCTCGAACTCTTTCTCACACACACACACACACACACACTCATAGCTTCCTCAACATGTACCACAGATCATCCTTCCCGCAAGAACTTGGTGGGCAAAAAGGAAAAAGGATAGATGAAGATGAAGTGATTTGTTGGCCCTGAAATCCTCTACCACTGCTGGATCAAAGGGACAGCACCACCTTTTTTAGAAAACAACTCTTTCATTACCTTTTATTCACAGTGACAAATCCTGGCTCACAGCAGTGACCTGGTTGCCAGTGTCCCCCCCCGTCTTTCATAGTTTACAGAGTGCTGTGTTTGCCAACAACCTCCTCCCATACATGTTCCCATGAGCAAAGATAAGTTGCTTCCCCAACTTCAACAGTTTGTGCCTTATTTATTCTCAAATATTTTATACCTGTTTGGTTTAATCAGCTATAATCTCCCCCTACATTACGTAATATAAAAATAAAGAGAATTGAAATGCAGTCAAATTGTTAAACCAAAGAGAAGTCAAGAAGTCTGACCTTTAAAAAAATATGATTTCACTTGTATTCGTTAATGTTTTGATGATGGATAGCATGTGTAAAGTTTTAGAAAAGTGTGCAGTTTAAATCTGCTGCAAAACTCCAAAGAAATTCCTTAATGTCATACAGATGTTTTCCCTCAGAACCAGGAAGTAAAGTTAGCATTAAGGTAGCCACATAGAGACAACATGGCACTACCTCATCTGAAGACAAGAAATAGTTTGTTTGTTTACCATCAGTTTCTTTCTTTCAAGAGGTGCTGTCCTGAATATATATCTGTATATCTACCTCCATCTATATATATTTACCACTATAACATCACCATAGTGAGATGCCCAACATCTCAACACCAGTAATCATAGACTCACCAGTTACTTAGCAACAGCCAGGAAGTAGATTGTGGAGCTCAGAAATCTGTACAAACTAAAGTCAGTGTGGAGACATTGACATATCTTTTCTTTGGCCAGTCAGTCACTCTCAGACCCTTACATTTACCCGGTGGACCTTAACTGAACAGTCAGAGCTTGAGATCAAGATGAGCAGGTTTTTCACTGTACTGACAGACCAGGTTTTTTTTTAACTTGTTTTGTTTCCTGGCAGCAAAATAAGCCAGACACATTGGGGGAAGAGACATTTATGGACCAGCAGGGATAAAGTTTCCACACACGCAGAGGCCTCGGTAGCTAATAAACAGGAGGCCAGCTCTTCTATATACTTTAAGCTTGGCTTGATAATGAGGTGTACTGTACATCTGCCTTCTAAGACAAAGTCAATCAAGCTAAATAAGATGGCATCTTAAAGAAACCTTCTGTTGACATGACAGCATAAAAGTCTTACATACTATCATTTTAGGCATTTTCTTTGATTTAAGGAATGGACCAAAGGTTATGGAAAGTTAGCTTAGCTAGCTTTCTAGCTTGCAAAATGGTATTAGCAAGTCTGTCAAAGGTTGCTGTCCTGATGTTGGACATCACCATGCTGATTTAAAAAAAAAAAAAAGTGGCAGTTATTACTTTATGTAAGTAAGAGCTTACAGTGAAATGTTTGCAAAGATGGTCTTTATTTATGTAGATGCTGTAGATGGACAGTCAACAGTAATAAATTACTATCATAACAATACCACAGTCTTGCCAAAAAAGTTGTATTGAAGGGAAAGTCAGATCCACATTATTCAGCATCTAAAATGAACAATGACAATGAACATTGACCACAATTGCATTAAGTCCCTTGAATCGACAAAACAGCGGTTTTCATCACCAGATTGTGCGCGTTAATTGTCCCTTTAATAGCTATTGATACATATACTTGCCTCTCTGAGCCTCACTTACCTGCACAGTCTACCTGTGCTGGTAGGCCATGCAGGTAAGTGGTAAAACTCCTGTTTCATTTTCCATGTTTCATTTTCATAAGTCATTAAAAAAAGATAGTAAAAAAGATGTTTTAACAAACGTCCCCTGGGGAGAACCAGACAAAATGCAGATCCAATAGTTGTGTTGATGCATGTTTCTGTATAAACTAATATTGTCCCCCATTTGGTTTTCTGACATGTTGTGTTTGTGGACAAAAGGATTTTCCCTGGCTTGTACAGGTGAATTTACAGTCCTGTGTAAAGAAGTGGAGTCCCTTTTAAGGTTCCCATAGCCTCTGTTTTATTGTTCTCAGACATTAAGTGCTCTCTCATACAGTCTCAATCTGCTATGTAAACCCACCTCAGTTATGAAGTTGCCCGGGAAAACCCCATTTTTATCTATCAACCTTTAACTGCTCTGTGATGCTGAACGAACAAAATGAAATAATGACCTGACTGTAGCTTGTTGGCCATCTGTGTGAACTGTGTGTGTGTTTGCTGTCTGTGCTCGGTTTTTGTGGGCTGCTTCGTTGTTCAGCTCTTCTGCTTCACAGTGTCTGTTCAAGGGCTACTTTGATATTTTGAGTTTTAGTCTTTTTTCCCCCTGCCAGCCATGTGTCGGTGGAAGGTCTTTGTACATGTTCCCCAGCTACCTGAAATACTGTTTTAGTCTGAACTGATATGCCATTTGCACAGACAGAGACCCCCACCCTTTTTGTGACAGTTGTCTAGTGAAAAAAGCCCCTACAAATGTCAGGCTAAAATTCCAGCAGAGCAAATGTCAAGGTGGCCCTCTGGCTGTATGTGGTTTTGTCTGCTCTATGTTGAAGTCTCGTTCTGTTGCATGCGTCGTTCATCAGTGAGCTTGGGCCATTCAGAACCTGGTTGGGAACGCTGGAGAGAAGGTACCGCTCCAACACGTAGACTGTACCCTGAGTGAGGAATAGGCACCTTTTCTTAGAACATAATCTGTGCCCTAGAGTCCAATCCATTCCTGTTTTTTCCAGCTATCCCCAAATACCCCTCTGAAAAACTTTTAAAATACCATTCTCATGAATTTACATTACTTTTAACAACCTGTGTTACTGCATGAGTATTACTTTACTGTGAAGCAAGTGATGCTGCACACAGGCATCTACACATTTGTTTAAAGTAGAGGTGCAGTTTACTATATGCAAATCAAGTATGCCTAGCATGGAAATCATTCAGCTGCACCATCATCATCCTCAACCACCTGCATCCACCTCATGCCACGTGCCTTCTTTAGATACTTACAGGCTGTCACTGCTCTTTTACTTAATTCTGTAAGTGACAATGGAAATGCTTTCATATGCAGAAACAAATGGAAAACAGTAAAGCTATTTTACCCATAGCAATATGTAGTCCTTCTCAATCAACAGTCCTCTTCATAACTATAATGTGTCACACTGGTTTCCACTAATTTGCCTGATCCAGCCTTTCTTTCCTTGCATCTGTATTAATAGAAGAGCCGTGTGTTTGTATATATTTCATTCCTGGTGCACAACTTGAACACATCCTCATCAAATTAAAGGATGTGTTTAAGCTGTTCATCACACAGGTAGACTGTAAACTTGGCTTTAAATCCTCTTTATTTTTCTTTGTGGAGTGTTGAGTGCATTAGAGGGTCTGCATGGGGCTGTTTCTTCAATCCCTCGACAACACATGCAGTCCTTAAAAACTGATAAATACAGTTACCCAGCTACTCATCTGTAAAAGATGAAAATCAGCCTTTTATAATAATAATTTAATAGTAACAATACACAGGCTAGTAGGGGCAACTACAAGCTTACAGATTGTGCCCCTCTTTCTTGATAGGTAATGTTGTTTCCCATAGTAACAGAAACAAGCCAAATGCTGTAATGTTAGACTGCAGATTGGCAGCGATAGCATGTTTCTTTACAGATCAGCAGTTGTAAAAAAAAAAAAAAAGAAAAGAGTCTAGTCTAAAAAGAGAGAGCGTGACATGTGCGTGTGAAAAGTGAAAGCAAATTTGGCCAATGAGAGATAGAAAATAAACTGACACTGACCTTTTTTTGGTTACTGGTTTTATGGTGGGCGAAGCATGTACATAGACTAGTAAAGATTACAGCCTCTTCTATTTTCATATATGAAATTTATCTATCCTGGGATGCACCTGCAACATTTGTGGTATCCCAGTCCCATTGCAGCCCTCTACAGTGGATTGTCCGTTTGTATTAACTTCTCTGCTTTCTGTATTTCTTCTACTCAGTATTTACGTGTTCTCGTCTTTCAGTATGTGTGCTTTGTGTTTGTGCTTTTGCTATCTCTGTTTGTTGTGTTTGCCATCTGCTGCAGGTGTACTACTGCCGCATACTGGCATGGAAGATGCATGCACACATGCTTACAAAGCAAGTGCAAGCTTTTAGCTCAGTGTTTGTGTGTCTTTGTCTATGTGAAAGAGCTGGAGGATTGTGATGCTTTGCCTTACAACCGAGGAAAGGAGGATTACTGTGTGTGTATCTGCATGTGTGCGTGTCGCTGACCTGATGTGACCCTAAATACTGACATGGCGGACTTTAGGGATTATGTGAAACATCAGGCTAACGGACATTTTTCAGACATAGATACTTGTATGACCTTAGACTTAGGTGAGTAGCACATCAGAAGGAAGTGATTTTCCTCTATAAGTGTTTGTCTAACTGTGTGTTCCTTTCCCACACCCCTCCTCTTCACTCCCATCCCCTCTTTTTAATACCTTTCTGTCTACTTCTCTCCTGCTGCACCACCTCCTACACCTCACTGTTTATCTACCTCTTGTTTCCTTCCCTCTATCAAACTTTCTTTATTTCCTGCTTTCTCTTGTCCAATCTATGTCACCCGGAATTCTTCATTTGCACCTCCTCTTCCCTGCCTCTTCTCATCACACCTTCCAACCTCTTATCCTTCTCCAATATTTTTTCGCACTTCTTTCTCTTTCTCCACATCTGCCTCCCTGCTCGTCTGCACCGTCCTCTCCTGTGTATCACCTTTTCTTTACCATCCCTCCCTCCGTGTCTCTCTTCTTTCTTCCCACCCTTCCTCTGCAGCGCCCCACCTCAGCGGGCGCCCGGTGCCTCCCCATCTGCCCACAACATCAGCAGCGCTGCCGTGTCAGACCGTCCCAACTTCTCCCGAGGGGTGGGCATCCGCAGCACATTCCACGCAGGCCAGCAGCGGGGTGCCAGGGACCAGCAGGGCTCCGCCTACCCCGGCGGGCCCGCGTCCCCGTCTCTGTCACATGGCAACAGCCAGGCCCGGAGGACACACGGTGCAACAGGGATTTTCAGCAAGTTCACATCCAAGTTTGTACGCAGGTGAGTGAAAAGAGAGGCAGGAGCATTTGAAAATGGGAAGGGTGAATAGTTATGATTGATATTTTAGGGTTGTGGTGTTAAAGAGCAAAGAAAGGAAGCAGTGAGATAGATAGGACAGGAGAGGATATGTGGCAGAAGAAGAAGTTTAGAAATGCAGAGCAGTCGTGGTAGCAGCTGTTCTACTTAAGTACAGTTTAAAGCTTTTTCAGAGTATTGAGGTTTCAGCCTGAAACAGAAAATGACTAGGTTTACGTTACAAGTCATTTCATGTGCTCATTTCCTCTCAGGAACAACATACTGTACGTCCATGTCATCACTGGTTTTCAGAGTATTTCTTTAAAGGGCCTGGTCTAATCTCATCCCTATCACTAGACTTGTGCTGATCTGTAACTCTGCTGAGAGTAGAAAGGGAGAGGAAAGGGAACAGCTGTGCCTTCTCTATAATTTTGTTTGGAGCAGTGGTGACTGAGGAGTAATTTTGGTTTTGGTTCCACGTCTGGCCCAGTTTTCATCTCAGTGCTCTAGTGCAGGTTGCAAGGACTAAAACTGCTCTCATGGGTACCTGGTTGTAATGAAAACTAAACTTGTTTATTTATATTTTTTAATTTTCTCTGGAAGTGGAAGCCCAGCTTTGATCCAACTCGGCTGTGTAAACAGTGAGGTGAAGACAGTACTTTGTGGTTATAAAAGTGGAAGGAAAGGATTGGAGGGAAAAGCCTGACTAATACAGTATCTACCAACTCTTTGACTACACAGTCTTGTGACAACTAAACGGATATTTCTACTCGCTGATTTCGGCTTTTGGCAGATAAATATTGGCATTAGTTGTAATTGAATTTGATATACATGAGCAGCATGCCATTTATTTCCACAATAAGATTTACAATGATAGCTTGTAATGTTATTGGAAAACTGAATGTGGGTTTTAATTATAAAGGAAAGACTAATCTTATTCTGTATTCTTCTTTAAATCCATAAAAGACCAAAATCTACTTCTCATCTCTCAGTACTTGTTGACTTCCCCACCCTGTCTGTTGCACTCAGTTCCAAGCCCATTGGTCTCTACTGAATCTTTATAATCTATATATAATATATAGTTTAATTTTATTCATTGTTTTATAGAAAAAAGACCACATCATTTCCTTAAACCGCTGGACCCTGTAACATTATTTTAACAGTGGTAGATAATGCACTGGTGAGTATTCACAGCAGGAGGACAGTGTAACCGAGATTGAACCAAAATAAAATAATTGTTCATCATAATGAAGGATAATTTACCCATTGCAAGTGTGGCTCACTAATTTATTTGTTCACAGTTTTTCGACAACAATAGAGCTCTATGGCACAGAGAAATAAGCTATACCAGGCTTTGACTGGCACTGCACAGACAATACTAGTTAGGATGGATTTAATGTTGGCTTTGGTCTTTGTGGAATTTGATGACAATATGAAAAAAAGAAATATCCTTAAGTTTTAATTACATTTCTCTACCACTACAACATAATGTATTCCAGATAGAGCAGTTGTAGGCAGATTCTTACTAAGCAAAATGATGAATTGTGTCAAGTAACAAGAGAGAAATAAATTCATACGCAGATACTTAAAATATCATAAACCAAATTGTCAGTGTTTTTATCTAAATCATGCATGAAGGGCGATGAAGACTGTGTGCACAGCTGAGTCAGAATTGGAGAAAAGTAAAAGAACACAGAGGAGACATGAAAAAAAAAAAACCCATCAGAGGCTGCCACCAGAATGAAAGATGTGGAGGGGAGGAGGCGACAGGAAGTGAGGGTTTAAAGGTGGCAGAGACTGAAAGAGGAAGGTCCAAGTGAGCAATGAAAGAATGAAAAGCTGAGGGAGCACGTAAGGTTGAGATTTTCGTCATCGCTGCTGTGTCACCAACCAGCCCTTGAGGGTCCGCACTGAACACGTGTTGAAATGTGTGCGAGGAAGGGAGGAAGAGAGAGAGGGAATGAATGTACGGTTGTATTTTTGGTGATTGTGTTAGCCTTAAAAAGACAGAATTGAGAATGATAAACCTGCATATGTGGGAATGTGTGTGTGTGTGTGCATGTGTGCGCGCGGTTGTGTGTAAGAGGCGGAGGTACAGGCACAGCCACACTCTAGGCCTCCCACTCAGATACTGTAGCTCCGTGGCGACAGTATCCATGGTTACACCGGAGATATCACTTTTCCCTCAACTATAAATACCACTAGTGGGGACACCTTGACACACATGCATGCACACACACACACACAACTTGGCGTGTTGGTAGGAAGTAGAGGTGGTATAGACAGAGAGATTGTGTTGCATTTGTACAGTTTGACCACACCAAACACACAGACACACACACACACGTATACGCTAAAGCTGTGTGTTTTATTAACGTATCATATAACCTGACCTCTGCACTTTCCTGCTTGGGCTGGAGAGTGATATTTCTCTGTCCTTCAAACACATCGTGTGTTTGCGTGTGTGTGTGAAGGAGATTGTTTCTCAATGTGTGTTAAAGATTAAGTTGTTGCTTAACCTGTGCTTTTTCATTTAAATGTGTCTTTGTGTGTGTGTGTGTTTTGTGTGTGTGTATATATATATGAGGTGGTTTTCTCTGTTTTTAATTTTTTTTTCTATCACGTTTGAACTTTTCCCCTCACAAACACTTCTTTTCAGGATCACCCAGGACTGCTCTGTATGTGGAGGAGCACTTTATTTCATGTTAGGTTGGGGTGGGGGGCGGGTTGACTCTGTTCAAACAGGGTCTCTTAATGGAATTTTTTCCACTGAGCTCATTAAATCCTTCTGAGGTGCTCCATTTAATAATGTCTGTTCACACATTCACACCAATACTTCCCACATTTAAACACATTCAAATTGAAAGTCAACATCAGTAACACTAATTCTCTACTTTTGTTGTTTATTTTTGGTTATTTAATGTTGGTTGTGCTTGCTGCTTCAATCCCAAGTGAGCCTAGTTCACATTGGACTTTTGTTTGCTACTCAGAGGGCAGCTTGTCTTTTACAGGAAAGTCATGAATCTATACGTTTTTATACATACATTTGTTTCTCTTTCTTTCTTTATCCCTCTTTTGTTTTTGTAGAAATCTCTCGTTCAGGTTTCCGAGAAGGTAGGCAACATCCCCAACGTTAAATATATAACCCCTTGATATATATACGTATATTCTCTTCTTCATATATATTTTACATATATATATATATATTTCCTCCCCTTTTGGTGTTTCGTGCAGCTTTTTGTTGAAATCTTCCTTTTGTGCCTTGAGCCTTATCTTTTCTCCTCCTTTTTTTTCTGTGGTTGGCCCCTTTTTTGAGCCTTCTGGTTTTGAGTGCCGTGTTTTGGCCCATTTGTATTTATTTATTTGTATTTATTTATTTATTTATTTACTAACTTCCCCCGTCACCCACTCACTTAACTCACTCCATCATCATGCGGCACAATAACACCTCACCCCTCTTCCTCTTCGTCCCTCCATCGTCCCTCCAAGCCACCTCATTCTCACCCTCCTCTTTCCATTTATTTACCAGGTAGAGTGTATGTGAGCTTGTATCCCCCTGTAGCGTCCAAGATTTAGGTCAAGTCTTAATGGTGCCATAGATCAAACTACTCCCTTACTACTCTTAACCCTTTCCAAGCTTCAGATGCAGGTAATGTTGTCCTTCTTTTGAGCTTAATGGAAATCTTCCTCTCCAAATCTTAAAAACTGGTGAGGTAATAGTATTAAAAGTCTTACATTGCATCATGTCCATAAACAGATGAGAGATTTAGAGTGTTATGAGCAGGGGTTTTTATTTTAGTCTTGCTTTGTCACTTTGCCCAGGATTGTGCAATGTTGCTAACCATTATCCAAGCTAACGCCACTTACCAAACCCTCCGAACCATCACCCATCTCACCTCTCTGCTTTCATCGGTTTGGTCACAAAAATCAGCCCATAGAGTGGAGTTGTGTTTCTAGTTTTTGGTGCAAGTTCATGATGATCCCACAGGGGAAGTACTGTATTTTAAAGTCCCTGGCTGTAGTTGGTAGTTATGGATGGATGGAGGTAGAGAGGAGAGGACCCAGGAGGGACGGGGCTGCAGTGTTTCTCAGGCTGCACTCTTTTCTGGAGGCTGCTCTCTTCCTTTCTTTCATCGCTCTGTTCTCACTCTGGCACTGGCTCTCTAACAGCAGTAGCAACAGAACTGGATGGCTTTGACCTACTATGGCTGGAAAAACCCTTATACTGTGGACACACACACACAAGCAGATGACACTTAATGCACATTTATGTAATATTCACACTGACACACCCAAACATCAACAAACATCAAAACTTTTTCATTCATGTAGAATGTATGCAGTATGCAGATGCTAAAAGAAAACACTTGACACATTTTACATTTATATATGCTGAACACACAGTTCACAACCACATTTGTCACACACACTTGCTTTTAGGTATGTTGGTTGCTTTTTACCAGCAGGTAGAGCAATTTTCCTTTCATTGTGGACCATTGCTCCACCTGGTGGTTAGAAGTTATAATACACATTTATTGTCAAAGTGTTATGATGAACTACCTCTCAGTTTTTCTATATAAGTAGTAATGCCTTTGGGCTATTTAAGGATACTCATAAATCATTAAATTTGAAATATGAGATGGAGAAATGATTAATCTGCCTTAAAAATATATGGATGTATATGTGGCAAATGGGTTTTCATGTTCTTGAGTATATGAATAGATTGTAGTTGTTGTCTAGTGTTTACAGTGCACTATATGTGGTGGACAGTGAAAGTTCTTAATAACCAGACAAGTGCGATATTTGGGTTCAAGTAATCACCTTATCGGCCCTTTGTTTTCCCTTGATGTCACAGTGCCCCTCCTCTGGGAGCCATTTTGCATCCCTTCATACTCAGTTAAAATCATACAGGGCATGCAAAACGGCATAACTTAATTTACATTGTTCACCAGTTTACCTCTATTATTTAAGTAATCCTTGTGCAACTTTTTCCACTGCCTCACTTGTCATTTCCCTTGTGCTATCTTTTAATCATGTTTCTGTTGCAGGAGGTATTTTACATGTTTTTGGTTATTATTTTAATGGGGCAAAACAGGAATGCTGTCTTTTCCCACAACAGAATGAATTTAAGACCATAATTTGAATTGGTCGTGTGTGTCACTTTCCATCCATTGTCTGCATGTGTTTTTGCTGTTGTCTGTCTTTGTGTTTTTTGTTATTGTCTGCTTTTCTCCATTGACTTTGTGTGTTTGTCTGCTGGTACGAGAGAGAATATGTGTGTGTGTGTGTGTGTGTGTGTGTGTGTGAGACGTGTTATATAGGCTGCAGTTACATTGTTGTTTCAGGGTGTGTGTGTGTGTGTGTGTGTGTGTGTTAAAACAGCCTATATGTAGGTCCAATGTTACTAATAAAGGTTTTAATGCAGTGCTGGGATCAGTAATGCTCCTAACCTCCTTTAGCTGCACGACTCGTCCTCACCATGCCGACCATTCTGTTCCAAACCATTCCATCCTGGTCCATATAGTTCCATTTCATATTTTGTTGGAACCCATTCCATTCCATTCTGTTCCAAACCATTCCTTTTCACATTTGATTTGCTGGGATCCATTCCATTCTGTTCTACTTTGTTAGAAATAAAAATCTGCTCTGAATTGAGCCATGACATTTTGAGATCTCAACTCTTTGTCCAAACTTTCCATTTAATTTGAACCAGTTGTTGTTTTCCATCCATCACCTTTTTCTGATCCATCCTGCAACTAGTTGCACCAGCTTCTTGTAAGATCCAATTAAATCTAGTTATAACGCGTTCAAGTGTTTACTAAATTAAAAAGGGTTGTACCAGACAAACTATTGTTACAAAATATTTATACCTGTTAACTGACAACTGGTGTTTGAGTTAACTGACAAAGCTAATGTTAGCTTGCTAATATATAGATTTGCCACTCGGGAAGGTTATTAGGAAGCTTTTGTTTTGATGGCGCTAGAGATGTTTCCTAGCAACAAATTTACTCCTAATTAAAATCTTTACTTTTTATGTTTCAGTGGTGCAACCAAATTTAGTAAATCACTTGTTTGATACTAGTTACTAAGAATGTAGGAGGGACACTTAAACTTGAAATGACTCCTCCTTAGAGATGAGTTGTGATAAAGTGGTTATACAGAGTGGACTGGCATTGAGACCTGCATTGTGGGATGTGAAGTTCTCAGGTGGTTCTGGACTTAAATTTGAGCACCTGGAGTGGGAATCAGACATTTGGCATCAATGGTGGATGTGGTTGGATTGGAACATTCAGGCACGCATGGCGGGCAGCGCAACTGTGTTCAGCCAGCTGATTTACTATCTGTTTAAGAGTCCATTTGTTGCCCCTAGCCCTCAAAAAGACTAAACTTGTGTTGATTTTTCCCGAGGAGTCCGTATGAGGGAGAGGGTCGGGATGAGGGGAGCAGGTGAGATACAGAACAGCCTGAAAAACCGAAAACCCTACAAACCCCCAGACTCTACCAAAAACCGCCTGCCAATCAGTAGACTGGAGCCAATCAGTAGATGATCTCTGAGCTTGTTGTGAATGGCTGGGAGAGGGGGGCCGAGCTGGGATATAATTGGTTGGTGATGGTGATAACGGCTTAACCAATCAGGGGACGGGAGATTAGCAGTGAATGGTAGCATCCCAGAGAGTGCGAGTGCTGGTGTGGAGGTTGACCCGCATGGTGGTGTGTGTATGTGTGATGGGAATCAGAATCAAAGTACCCAAATGTGTGTTTGTGTGTAAGCAGGCTTGAAGTTCACTGCACAGATCTAAATCTTACACACATTTTGGTAACCTCAGAGACGTGCACACACAAACACACACAGGGGTACTTAAGAGAATTTTTTTTGCTTTTTGTCTTCATTCATTTCCACGACCTCATCATCTCCCTCTTCCTCTCAATCATTCCTCCATTTCTCCCTCCCCCCCTCCTTTTTTGTCTCTACTTTTTAAATAATTCCCTCAATCTCACGCTTTTCTTCTTTTTCTCTCTTTGCTTATTATTTCCTGTCTTCTTCCGCCCTACTCCCTTCCTCTCCTGTCCCTTCACTTTATCTCTTCCTACCCTCTCCTCTCGTGTCTTTATCTGTCCTTTCTCTCTCCTCCACTCTCCCTCTCCTCCACCCTCCCATTCCTCACCCAGGTCTATGCTGAGCAGTACAGTGGACAAGTCCGAGAAGACGTCTGGTGGTGTTCTCTCCTCCTCTTCCAACAACGATGAGAACAACTCCTCTCCAGGATCTGGTAACACTGGTATGTTGGTTTTTATCACTGCTGTCTAATTTTGTCAACATTAGGTAAAACAGAACAGTCATGGTTATTAAATTACAATTTTTATTCAGGAGGGATGCACCGATACCAATACCAGCATTCTGTCTGATAGTGCTACCTGTAATTGTAATCATAAAATTACTGCCATACCCCACCCAATACCATAGAACGGCAGTGTGATGTTACGTAACCTCGCGTTTGTGGAGGAGAAGCAATGTTAGTTGGAGATATTTTACAACATCAGCAACATTTAATTTGTTAGCCTAGGCTAGATTATAACTGTCAGAAAAGTGGAAAGAACAGCGGCACAGAGATGGAAAGATAAAACAGAAAATAAAATGGGGGCCAAGCACAGACCCTTGAGGTACACCATAGTTCAGATTAGTTAATTAATCTTCAAGTTGATTAACTGACATATGATCAACAAAAGTTTGGATTAATTGAGTCATAACATTTGCTCATTCTAGGTTCTCAAATCTGGATTTGAAATATGCTTCATCTGTTTTACATCATAGTACACTGAAAAGCTTTGGGTTTTAGAGTTTTTACTATTTTCTGACATTTCTTTTGGTTAAAATTATTAATTGATTGAACCGTGGAAAGCTTGCATTACAACTAGAGATGCACAGATTGAATTCAGCCCAGTGCTGACCTTCAGTTGGCCCTGAGATCGGGTATTGTCCACATTAGATACAGTATAAATGCAGCGCTCGGGGGTTCGAATCCGACCTGCGGCCCTTTGCTGCGTGTCATCCCCTCTCTCTCTCCACCCACCTTTCCTGTCTCTATACAGCTTTCTCTATAAAATAAAGCCAACAAAAGGCCAAAAAAATAACTTAAAAAAAAAAGATACAGTATAAATGTAGTCAATATCATTATAACATTCACTGTTGCTGCTATCTTATAGTTCTTTCGTTCTGCCACAAACTCAGTTTTTGGCACCACAGCTATCCTCATTATCTGATGTATCCCTTTGAGTTTCTGGCAGTGAGGCAGCAGCTGAACACACTTCAGGTTTTGGTAAAAGGGTGCAATAATGTGGGATTGTGGGTCAGCATCATTTGTCATTTAATGTCACTGCAGCATTTG